GAATTTGTTATAAATTCATCATAAATATGAGGTGAGTAAAATTCTTGTACTCACCTGCAGAGCCCAGAAGTGGAAACTTATGTAAGACATTGGGTAACGCCAGAAAGGTTTTGGGATGTCCTTCGGAAGTCGGAAGTAGCCAGAGACGAGCATAAATATTCCCTAAGGAAATAAAGAAAATCAAGAAAATCAAATATGATTAAGAAAGATGGAATCTGATTCAAATGCGAGGTATACCATTAACATTATCTTTCTTTTCGATAATTTTCAGCTTGAACAAGAATTACGCACCTGTATTCCAGCCCCAATGATGATACCCATAAGGAAATTAGGAACAACACTGGCAATAGCCATCATGAGGCTCTCAACCACAGTGACACTTGCGTAAAGGCACAATACGAAAAATAAATAGTGTGACAAGCCTGGGTGGAGGCGTACCATGAAGTAGCACACAGTACCAGATATGAAGGTGATTAATATCAGAAAAGGCATTGCAGACAATGTGTTGCTAATCACAAAGGCAGTAACTCCATAGTGCCCATTAAGTCTTTCCCTTTGGAAAACCTGGACATAAACAATGACCATTTTTTAATGTCCGGTTTCTCATTCCTTCGTTTTCTACTTCTCCCTTTTCCATTAGCAAAATAATTCTTGTCTTTTTTTCTTTTTCTGTTGAACAATGAAACTAGCCAGGCTGTGTACCTTCATATCTTCCACAAACGAAGGGAATCCACCAATGGACATAAAAGTCACAAAACCAAAAACGAAAGATGCACATGCACCCCTTGCCTGTAAATAATCAGGTATTTAGATGATAAGTTGAATTGAAAATTCAGGAATCCGAAATAAACTTTTTTCTGCTATAGAACTTCTGTAATTCATAAGAAGTGTGTTCCAAAACACTTCTACTCGAAAGCCATTGAATAACTGTCTAATCCAAACACTAGATTGCTTTAAGAGGAGAGTTTATGAAGGCTATTCTGTCATATGTTAATCACTTTACCAGGATTGAATTGTAACTTGTTCCGACATTCAGATAAATTGTTCCAATGCAAATTGTGACCACGACATAGATAATGAGCCTCAGCCAGTAATAACCAAAGTCTCTTGACATATTAACGAATGAGCGTGCGGTTAAGGTAGTAGCCTGCATGAAGAAACTTGCATGGCTCCCTCCAGAATCTAGCACAATTCCTTTCTATAAAAAAAATAAAATAATGAGCCCATCTAGCTATACGAGCAAGTTAAGCTTATTAAACGATGGGAAATTTTACTGAACAAGACTCACAATTTTGGATATCTCTTCAGTCCTTTCTTTT